GTTCTTCCTCCTTTCTTGTTTCCCCTCCTCTTCCTCCCAATCGGCTCCTTCATCACTGCGTCGGTCCACATCCCTGCTGAGTCGTTTAACTGTTACAGCACAGTTTTCAGCTCCTCAGACGCAGCTTGGTCTTAACCATGCTGCAATAATCCCACACACACACACACACACACACACACAGGAGCGCTGCTGTCTCCCACGTACACAGCACAACCAGTGAATCAATATTTGTATCATACCTTCCTAACTCTTTTCTCACCTCTTGCGCTTTTAAGTTTGGATCCTTTCTCCTATTTCTTATATCCTCCCTGCACGGAGAGAGAAGGTACCGAGTGGTAAAGTGGGTCACCCCTCTCCTATAGTTGTGGGAAGACTCGCTCTGCGGAGTGAGGCTGGCTGTTGCCTTAGGCGCCGACATGACAGCAAAGGCAAACCGATGGACTCAAAGGGGAAATCGAGTGCTTGAGAAGTTACCTTGGTATAAATGTTGTAGTCACCGGCCTGTTGCGACTGCTGCATTACTCAGTCGTAATAAAACGTGTGTAGAAACACAGAGGACATAAACACATGACATGAATTGTATGAATTGAATATTTGATAAACAACTAAAACCTCCAGGGATTCCTGAGGTGTCAAAAAACGCCCAGTGGTTCAACAAAGGGAGAGAAATTCCCGGATCCGCCCTTTTTCTGGATCCATATCAAAATGTAATGGGTTCTTCCCTGACCTACCATAAAGTTTCATGGAAACCTCTTCAGTAGTTTCTGCACAATCTTGCTTAGAAACAAACAGAGCATCAAACAAACGGCCCGGCCGTTATGAGAGCATAACCTCCTTTTCAGGGGTAATGAAATAAAACAATAAATTAGGCAAATGGATTTCTCGCAGAGGGGAAACCAGCGAGGGATCGTATCTTTGTTGTTGCCTCACGAGCTCTCGCCTGATGGTTTGATCAGCAGGTTTAAATCTGGGGAGGCAACACGACCCTCTCCTTGTGTTGGAGGAGCAAAAGATTCCCAACTGAGTGGGTCAAAAAAAAAACAGAAAACACTTTCCATTACGACTCTTCCAAAACCTGAGTTATGACAGTAAAGGTTTGGCATCATCTTGTTCCAACCTGTTCGGCTCTGCCAGATTTGATTTGTAGCTCGCAGCCAGACTCCCCTGTGCCTTTTAAAGGAAATTCAAGCAACTGTTGCAGTTGGAGTGATATGGTCTCTTCTGGATTTGTTATCAACACAGCACTTTTCTGCTTCTTGAACTGTTCTGTGCAAAGCCATAAAAAAGAGATAGTGTTCAAACCATGTGTGTGTTTTACTGTATTCCTAGAATCATGTGTAGAAAAAATCCTTAAAACAAGTTTGTCCTGCAGTTTCTCTTACTGTTGTTAAGTTATTTCTGGGGGTAAATGAATTTCATCACGTGTTCAGTAAAACTTATTCACAAGTGATGTTTTATTGTCTCCCTCTTTTTCGTTCCAGGAAACTTCTACGGGACCCCGAAGCCCCCTGCGGAGCCCAGCCCCGTGCAGCCGGACCTGGTGGACCAGGTTCTGTTCGACGAGGAGTTCGACACGGAGGTCCAGCGAAAACGCACAACCTCCGTCAGCAAGATGGACAGAAAGGACAGCGCGGCTCCAGAGGAGGAAGAGGAAGAAGAGAGGTCTCCTGTGGTCAACGGCCTGGCTGGTGAGAGACGCTCTTTTATTTCACAGTTCTCGCAGCTCATTGTGATGCAGTCGTGTTTTTCTACCAGTTTAAGCCACCGTGCATTATTTTCTGTGCTCAATTTATTTATCTATTTATTTATTTATTCATTTGTTCCTGCAGTTCATTATGTTAATGTGAAAATGCAAAACAGCGAGTTCTCTCTTCTCTCCTTCATTCTCCTCTCCAAACAAACATTCTCAGGATAAGCTGCTCCGCATGCGAGTTCAGCACTAAATCACGACCCGGCAAAGTCAAGACACAGCCAAAGTCGGTGTGAGATCAGTGGAAGCAAACTCTCGGTTGCAGAGAGAGACTTTGTCCTTGTTTGATTCCTCCTGTGATGTCCTCACACGGCTCACAGGACAAATAAATGGCAACGTGTTTGGGATGATGTGAACTATTGTCCTTAAAAACAGCTTCATAACTGAGAAACACTACAAAATAAAAGGCAAATACAGAGTCAGAGAAGGTTTTATTTTCAGCACCGCTCACCCGTCGTTAACCAGTCGACTGCTTCTGGCTCTTTGCTGCTCCAGATGGAGCGAGCCCCCTTCAGCTGGCCCGTCCTCTGCTCTGGCTTCAATGACAGGCCCCTAACTAACCCCAGCTCACACCAGCCTGGTGCAGGAGAGTCTGGATCATTAGCCAAATGAGCAGCTCTGCACAGAAGGAACCAAAAACAGCTCCTGTCCAGTGCATATTGGGGAAATGCTGGTAAATATCCTGTGTACATGCAGGAAGAATTTAAAGAGAGTTTAACTGACACCAGCCTGAATGAATTTGAATTAAATCCTTTACACGCTGTCATTATCACATATTGTAAATATGAGCCGAACATACGGGCCAACGAAACCTCCGGCCACCTGGAAATCAATCTATATTTATTGTGAGACTGAGAATCACAAATTGGAAAAAAATTGGCAAGGGCACAATATAAGAAACATTGTCAGAGATGGGAAATAATCTCTGTAATGTGATGATGGTCGGCTGGAGCCCAGCCAAGAAAACTCCCCCATGGTAGACAGATCGCAAACCTTTGTCATCGCGTGCGTGGATTGGATTGAAGCGGGACAGATGTGCAACAAAAGAAAGTGGCCGCGGACACGTACGACTCTGCCTCGGAGGTAGTTTAATAATGGTCGTGCATCACTGTGAATGGCCAGTTCTTCTTTTGTGAAGCCCGCACGCCCCCAAGTTCACAGAAGACCCGTGTTTGTATTTCTCTGAGAGGCCCGAATGCGGCTAATGGCCTCGAGCTAGTGTCTGTGCGTCGGTATTTATTCTGACTTCATTAGGGATGAATCCCGCCCCCCATGAAAAGAGAGAGGCCCCAATTTCATCACAAAAAGCTATAGACGTCTTCCAGTCAACAGCTGTCACTTTCTATCTCCACCATTCAGTTGCCCCGGCCAGACAGACTGAGCATTCAATACCACGAGGAAGCTAGGTCATGAAAACCTGCAGACTAGACACACACACACACACACACACACACACACACACAGGATTAGGCAAATACACACGTGTGTGATAGTAATAGAGTTGTGATGTGGTGCTCGTGGCTGAAGCTGAAGCATTGGTCAGCTCTGCCCTTGCCTCGGAGGCAGTTCCCAGTACATCGCTGCTGACATGCAAATCCTATGGCAATTGCTTTGCTTCCGTCCTCTCTCTGTGTACTCTCTCTCTCTTTCTCTCTCTCTCTCTCTCTCTCTCTTCCCCTTCCTCTCTTGTGGATGTAACCATCCACCCAGTGAACCAGCAGCTCGAGCGGCGGCAGCAACGGCAGCAGCAGCAGCGGGGAGAGATGCGAGGAGCCCAGAGGAGCTCCAATGGCGCCACACTCTCACCCCCTGTCTCCTTCTCCTTCTACCACCTCCCGTACCCTTACTCACAACCCCTTCCTCTCTCTGTCTCCATGCCCGTGTCCCTCTCTCCATGCCCGGCCCCAGAGCACAAGGACAAGGCGGAGTGGAGGAAGTCGGTGCCCAGCTACAACCAGTCGGCGGCGGCCATGGACATGCGTGTATGGAACACACAGGATGAAAGTCAGGAGCCCTTGCCTAAAAACTGGGAGATGGCCTACACAGAGACCGGCATGGTCTATTTCATAGAGTAAGTAGCCTTTCTGCTGCTACTTGCCTGTTGTGCTAATCCCACTCCCGGTACTTTCTCCAGTTTGTGTCTTTTCAAGCCAAACGTGTTGAGAGATCTGGCAGCGAGTCCTCTCTCCTCACCATCCATCACATTCCTCCGTGCTGCATTAAAACCTGCTGCTGGACACGGAAACTATCTGTAGGCGCTCGTGTTGTTCTCGATGAAGCCTCGCTTTTATTTCACCAGTGTTTGATGTGGGGTTTGTTGGCCGGGGCTAAAAGCAGCAGGCCTGCATTGTTTACCTGGCCCGTCAGTGTGGCAAGCAGTCAATGCTGAAGCGCTGAGAGAGCCAGGTGCTGCTGCTCGCTGCTAAATCAATAGTTCATTCTGCCAGCGAGAGAAAACACAGGCTAAATGGAGTTCGCCACTCCTGACCTGCTCGCTCACTTCGTCTCTTATGATCTCTGCAGCTACTCGCTCTTTTCTTTCTCCGGTCCATGCACTACTCATTTTCCTTACTTCAGTCCCTGCTCACTGTGTCCCAATGTCGCTCTATGTCTCTGTCTCTCTTTGTTAAATCTTATTAATGTTGTAAAAGCGTATTTATTAATAAGCTATTCGATCCCAGACGTGCAGAAGTTCGACACATTTTCCTGTTTCCAGGGAGCTGTTAGCTCTGTTTGTTTGCTGGAGTTGGTGCAATAGCTCCTGGGTAAAGTGGCTCCTGAGAGTCGCCCAGTACTAATTGTCACAGTATCTTAATTATTTTTAGATGATTTTTTTACTGCGCCTCAAGCTCTGCCTCCATTTATTTATTTTTTTTATATTTCAGTCACAACAGCAAGACCACAACCTGGCTGGACCCTCGCCTCGCCAAGAAAGCCAAGCCTCCAGAGAAATGCGAGGAAGGAGGTGAGACAGTGCAGATAGTTCTGCAGCAGTAACATTTGCACGGGCACCTGTACCCCTCAGACTCACTTATGTACTCTGCTCCCCACCAAACACACACACACACACACACACACACACACACACACACACACACACACTTCCACTTCATCCCATCTCCCTGCTGCATAGAGCAGTGTGTGCATGAGCCGCATGCCTGCCTCTCTGAAGGGGGGCTCTGGCTAACAGACGGAGATTGAACAAATGAGCGGGCGCTGTCACAGTCACGCTGGTGACACAGCACAAACCTTCGGTCTCTAGTCGGCCTCTCTCTCCTCCTAATGGCTTCTGGTACACATGCAGGGAGCTCATCAGTGCAGCATGTCTCAAAAGGCAATTTTCTATGGCCCCTCTTGCGTAAAGATCTCCTCTGCGCCGCGTGTGTTTGTCACACTGCAGCTCAAACTCAAGATGTTGCGCCCACACACACACACACACACACACACATATATACAGCAGAGAGAGGGAATTATTTTCCAGTGAGGCTGTAGAACAACTCAGCATTTACCCCCTGCCTCCTCCATATTGTGTGTTAAGCCCTAAACACATGGTAAGAAATAAAAGCAGACCAGCTGTAGGTGTTGCTAGACGTGCTGTGAAGCTGCCAGGCAAAGCACCGCGCCTCATTGCGTGTGTCCAATTGTCCATGTTGTGTCTCAGCAGTAACTGAAGTGATCTGAGTCGGCCTTTTCCCCTTGTTTGCTCTCCCCCCCACAGAGCTGCCCTATGGCTGGGAGAAGATTGAGGACCCCCAGTATGGAACCTACTACGTGGAGTGAGTAAACTTCTCCCTGAGCCTGAAGCGCCGCATCTGTGAGCTGTGTTGGGTGTCGAGGAAATGGTTTATATATGAATACACTTAGTCTCTTTGGGACTTCAGTGAAGTTCAGACATGGAATCAACATCTGTCCAGAGAGATCTGATCGCTGATGGTCGGCTTTAAGTTTGTCTGTGCACAACTGGTGGTAAAATTCAACCTGAATGTGTTTCCTGTTTCTATGAGTGATCTCACCTCCGAGCTCAACATGCAAATAATCCTGACTGATGATTGTGTTCACGGATGATGTCACTTTCTCCCTGGTCTGAGTTTACAGATGTGTCTGATGTCAATATTTCTGCGTCTGTATGCCGGCGTGAGGGAGGGGGAAGGGTGGGGGTGTTAATGAATGAGTGCACACGGCTATGAAGATTTTACCATTTAAAAAAAAGTATTGATTATTATGTCGTGGTTTTGATATTGTGGAGGTGGCAGTGGTGGAGAAAGTACATTATACTTAAATTAAATGGATGAAAATATACTCAAGCAAAATTCAAAGTTCCACATCAACTTTTCTTCAGTAAAAGTAAATAATTACTTTCTTTTAAAACGTGCTTTAAGTATTAAAAGTCAAGTACAGATACATGAAATAGCACAGTAATGAAGTAAATGTACTTTATTACATGACCACTGTGATCAGATAACTCAGGACAGATGATAATACCAGTTGTAGTTTCATCACTAAATGCATAGAATCATCACACGTGTTGAATCTAAAGGGAGGTGTGGACCATGTGATGGCTGCACGTAACGCTGTCGTTCACACTGTAGTTTCCCACAGTCCTGCAGAAAGCAATTATGTCACAGCCCAGATAACAGTGGTGGGTTCCAGCTTCGTGTACGTGTGCGTACGAGAAAGAGAGGAGACAGTGAGGACGGCAGACAATGAAGGTTTAGGGTCCCTGAGAGGGAAACCAGGGCGAGGTTCCATTCTGACCAGGAGTGTAAACAAGAGCACAGTGTTTCATTTTAGTCTCATTACTGTGGACAAAGAGGGGGAGACCTGCAGGCCGGGGGGAGGGGGTATCGACGCGGCTGTTTATGCAAGAGGGTCATTGAGAGGCTGCCTCTCCTCCGTCTCTGTCTCTTTGTCTGGCAAATTTTTTGTTGTGAGCGAAGAAGCAAGTGCGACGACGTGACACAAAGTCTCATTATTTCCTCAGCTGCCGCCCAAAAAACATGAGGTGTGGCAATTAGGGAGCGAGAAAGTGAGGCAGACACCGGCGAGTAAATCAGAGAGCGGAAAGAAAAGTGTTGGGAATGTTTATCTCCTGACTCGGGAGGGTATTTGTGCATGAGTCATGCACAGCAAAGAGCACGGAGTCTGGGTTTTTTGTTGAACACCCACACACACACACACACACACACACACAGTTTGTAATGTGCATCGTCAATGCATTATGTCTTCCCACTGTGCTGTCATGACGGGGATTTACAACTGGTAAAGCTCATTACGCAGATGAGCTACCTCTCTCCCTATTACCATATCACCACAGAGGGACATTTCTCTGGTTGGCTGGAAACGTGTCAGCGCACAACAGGTGCCAACCTGCGGATCGTTAATTGTTTTTAGATTGAGTTCTGAGTCGAATCCCCCAAAGTAAAGCTGCGAGGCTGTTTATTTAAAGAAACGCGTGGAGGGAACGAAGGCCGTCTCTGGGAGCGTTATGTGATAAAGAACTTATTGACGTTAACATCTGTTTTATTGACTCTTGTGATCCAGGGGTTTACGATTCACTCACGCACTGTGGACTTAAATAAATAATAAAATAAGAATAAATTGCAACTCGTCCCCTTTTGTCCGATTCTCTTTGGATAAACTGGGCATGTCCATAAATGTTTAATCTCCGAGGTCATGTCGGTGAATTCTCTTTTTAATTTTTACAAGACACGTATTTAAACACATTGAGAAAATATCCAAAATAATAACAATAATAAAATAAAGTCATTAAAAGTTTGAAATAATCGTGATATTGATTTAAAGTCATCATCCTCTGAGGCCTGGTTTATTTATAGTCTGCGTGTTCTTCCTCTGCCCTGTGTGGGTTCTCTGCAGCTCCTCCAGCTTCACATTCAGGCTGTGGTTTATTGGAAGCTCTAAATTGCCCGTAGGTGTGAGTGTTAGTGTGAGTGATCTCTTTATGTCAGCCCTGCGGTTGGCTGACGACCCGTCCGATGATCCAGCCTGTCCCGCGACCCTCAGAGGAATAGCGGTATAGATAATGGATGGGTTGTTACAGACATGCTCTCAATTCCTCTATATGTGTTGCTCTGTCTGCCGCTGGCAGATTTGGGTTAGTTATACCAGAACAGCCTGTATGCTGCATGACGTGCTGCCTCCCCGGCTTGGTTATACGCTCGTAGTCAAATCACAAGTTTGCATGACAGGCAGAGAACATTACCAACACTGTGGACAAGCTGCAGGACCACAGGCAAACACAAAAAGCAGAAACACCAGCCGGCAGCTCTGACTGTGAGTCGTCAACTGACGTAGAGTGAAAAACAGGAAAACAGGAATGTATTTTCATGCACAGTCGAGATTTGTATATCAGCTTGTACTATTTCCACTTTCTTCATCTAACGTGGTTATTTCACTTGTGCAGCCACATCAACCAGAAGACCCAGTTTGAGAATCCAGTGATGGAAGCAAAGAGAAAGTTGAGTGTGGACACGCCCACCGCCGTCCCGCCACCGGCAGCCACGCCCTCAGGTAACTCCACCCGCACCCAGCTCCTCCTCCTCCTCCTCCTTTTCATTTATTTATTTTTCCTGAATTTCATGTAAACAAGTGAAGATGCTCGGAAAGAAGTCGAGTTACCGAGTTACTGCTGGTGTCGTGATTTAAAACATTCTCAACATAGTAGATATTCTTATCAATAAGCAGATCCTGAGTCAGTTTTGTGATATTTAAATGAAACAGTCTTGTTTAGGTTGAGGGCCGGGAAGTTATCCTCTGGTTGTTCATCGGAAATGGACAGGAAGTGAGGTCATTAGCGCTAAATTACATCCTGGAATGTAAGAGACAGAAAGAGAAAGGGGCGGGGGGGCACATTGTAGCATGCAAACATTTCAGTTTTTATTTAGATTATCAGAGAAATCAAAATCATATTTTTACATTATTCTTGGTTTTAATTGAAAGTATTGGATTGATTGACATGTACTACTGGACGGATTCCTATGCGAGCTCTTACAGCAAGTTTCATCAGGGACAGATTAAACATCTTTTATCAAAACTTAATTAAATGGTTGAAGTTGATGCGTCATCAACAAGAAGTTGTTACTTCAGACGTCGTGCTGCGTTCCCTCCTCGTTCCACCGTCCCGTAACGTGCAACAGTGTCATAAAGACAAAGGTTCCAGCTTTGTAGTTTTAGCTTTTTGTTCACTGAAGACAAAAACCCATACAGGAAGTTATTGGACGTGTTATCCAAACACTGGAAAGCTTTTATCATCTCCTTCATGCTGAGGTGTCTGTCTGCAGGATGTTCTAACAGTTGACAGGCTGCTGATAAACAGCCCATTGCCTCTGAAGCAATGATATTCAATTTGAATAATGGAGCAGCGCTTCACTGGGCGGCTGAATTCATTTTGACAAGTAGATATGAAATAGGGGGGGGGGCTCCGAGGTCCCTTTGAAAATGCTTTTGCCCGAGCAGTTCAAAGATCTCTCGTTAGAAGAGAGGACGATGGGAAGGAGAGACGGAGGAGAGCGAGGAGAATGAGGAGACTGCGGTTTGAAAGTGACTCATGATCATAAATTGCATCTCCGCCGGGTCATCTGTTCATCATTTGCCACCTGTGGGGAATGTCGCTGTTTAATCACCCTCTCCTCAGTCAGTGTAAATGTCTGAGAAGAGGGGGCGAGTTGGAATCACACATAAACACACGACGCGTCACCGCATCAGTATTCAAACTGTAGCCTCTGTATTTCAAACAACCCTCGGACAGAAGTGTCTGCCTCACTCTGTTGCAGGCAGACCCCACCTCCCACAGCTGAGCCTCTCTGCAGTCTGTGGATGATATTGCCTCTGTGCACCACTGCCTGCAGCGTCAACTGCCCACCCCCCCACCCCCCGTGCGCCCGTTCTGCACCTTTCCACCCTCGTTAATGATAATTAATGGCCAGCGGTCTTGTGCGGGTATACGTGGACGTGCGTGAGGTAGCTTCTAAACGCTGTTTTGACAAGGGCTGGCGAGCCTGACCTCCCAGACAATGCAGCGGGAGCAGTGGAGCAAACGTGGCGCTATGCTGCAGCCATAATTACAACACTGACGATCCTGTCTGACATTTCATATAATCACCTCACCCCCCTCCCCCCCCTGAGAATACACACTGTCCCTTTGTGGCCCCACAGCTTAATCAAGACCATGTAAACATAGCGTTGGTGTGTAGCTCTCACTGCCCCCCCCCCCCCCCCCCCCC